GACGTGGATTTACTGTTTATTTGTTTCATAGGTTAATAACCATCTAACCGGACAGTCCAACAGTCACTCTGTATCACATCAACCACATCTGGAAGAAGTTCCCACGAGCCCCAAAATCAGCTGTTCTGTTGTTGTTTTAAACATTTGGATATTTAATAAAACCATGCAAAATTATACCCTCCTACAATGCATACTTTGTTGAAGAAGGTTTGTTAAAATAAATTGTTTCTAGCATATTTGAACCCCCGTGACTTTAAATGACAAACACATGAACATTTTTAGAGCTTAGATTTGCAATTGAGTTCTGTTAAAACAATCAAATCAATTCCTCATCCACTCCAGGTGTCACAATCTGAAGCTAAATTGTGTCTGTTCAGCACAATATTTTGTATAAACCAACTCTGAGCATCAATATGACGACATCTGTCACAGTTTCATGAGAAAAACTGCCCCAGTTTACTGCAAAGGACAGAAAACTTGCAAAAAAAAGTGCATTCTGGGTCAACTTTTAAGGGTCATATCAGCATGTGGGAACAGTAGTTAGTCAGAACAGGTTACCACAAATAAAAACAAAAAAAAATTTTATTTCTATGTTCACACCAGGCTCGTGTTGTAGCCACGATTCCTTCTATGTTGAAACTATTTTTGAATATAGGCAAAATAATCATTTCAGTCATGCAAGCACACACATTCATCCAATTAGAAGATGGATGTATGTGTGTGTGCTTGCATGTCTGACATTACTATTTATTTAGATATATATTTATTTTTTAATTACTCTTTTACAGTTTTTATAGTCTTTTTTTGACATGAATGTGTCACTGTTGGTTTGGCACTTTTTAATTTCGTTGGATGCATTACACACGTATTACAATGACAATACAGATTCTATTCTATATGTTTATAGCATGAAGCTAAAATATTGAATGGCTTCACTAAATATAACACATTTATTGCACACAAAAAATCATGCAGATCTAAGGGTGTCAGTGGAGGCATTGATTCTTTTTTTTAAGTTATATTTTCTGGCATTTTTACTTTGACCAAAGACTTCAGATCACAGTTTCTGTTAAGTTATTTTTTTGGCCTTTATTTGAGAGTGCAGTTGACAGAGAGACAGGAAAGTGGGGGAGAAGGACCTGTGGAAAAGGGCAATGAGTGGGATTTGAACTCATGAACTTCGCATTGGGGACTATAGACCCTTTACGTGGGTCGCCAGCTCAACCAGGTGAGCTATAGCAGCACCCCAGCATTGATTCATTTGAAATACAACAACCCGCATATAATTCAACTGCAGAAAACCTGTTGATAAAGTAACCACATAACTGCTGCATGCTATATCTGTCATATAACTGGATTATTTGAGCAGGCAAGTTAATTAAAATATGCTTCATAGCCCCCACATCCAGGATTCAACATATGCAAACACATGAGAAGTGATGCTGTCCACACCAATGAAAAACACAGCCAAGGTCAAAGTCAATAACTTTATTAGAAAAATAGGTTTAACTCACCTCACTGTACAGTATAAAACATTTTATTTGCAAGACTGCAAACACACTTGTTAGCAAAAAAAAAAAAAAAAAGAAATTCATTCTTGACCCTTAAAATTGGAAATCCAACAGAGTCAATGCTAGTATGAAAAAAATACTAATCTGGCTCTTTTTTTCACAAACCAGGTAGAAAGAGGAAGAACAAGCTGCACAATCCTCTCTGAACTGGAAGAATGCTAAACATGAGTCGAGATTCAAGACACCGTGTTTTATGGCAAACGTCACAAAAAGGCAGAAAGACTACAACGCACTAATGAAGTTTAAATGTCGTGTTGTTTGAAAGAGCTGAAAGGAGAAATCCAGCATCGCTTGACTATGAAACAGCGTGTGATGTACGACGCATTCTAGCAGTGACGACCTGGTGCCCTGCTTTACTCCTACGTTTCCCAGAATGCCTTTAAAACCCAAGTCGAAAGGGGAATATGAACTTTTACTTTTAATGGTGAGAAATAATAAACATCTCGTGGTTGCTTCTCATTACCTGCTCCTGTAAGTGGAGGATTTGAAGCTGTTTTCTTCATGTGCGGCGGCTGGAAACTAACCGCTGGAACGCTGAGGGAACACCGACGCAACACAAGTCTGGTGATATTCTAGATTTTTGTTACTATCAAATCCCATGTTTAGACCGAAGCCAACACTAAACATCCTATTAAATACTCAATCCCACTACAGCACCATGTGGATGCCACTAAAAATAGTCCCCAAACAAAGCACTACTGTTGCGTTACTCCTGTTTGTTTGGGGGGAAAAACAGTGTCAAGTCATTTTAGAAAGTTATGTGTCATTTTTAAGGAAATGACATGACAAAGTGTTTTTATATATATGTTTTATGCAACGTGCTTGGTGCTTAGGACCGCAGAGGGACGAAGAGTCCAAGTGCTCAGAGGTGCGTTGCTGTTTTTGGTCTTTTCATGGGATTTGTAGATAAAACACAGAATACTGCCAGACTTCAATTAAAACACTAAAAACTTTCAGAGCGTTTGAGCTCATCTGATATTTCATAGGTGATAATTGGTGTAGCTGTTCTCTTGCGATCTTTTTTTGTTTCAGGCAGGATTGCACGTCAGAGGTCAATTTTTACACTCCCATTAAAACAAAACACGGCCAAAATGCAAAGTACATCACTTCATTCTTAATTTCCCTCCAACATCACACTGGTTGAAGATGGATTTGCTCCTTTACATTCTCAACATGTTGATTTGCAGTATCATTTGCACACCGACAATGAAAGAACATGAATTAACACCAGCTTACTCTACAGGTAAATTTGTCACAACCACATATATGGCATGGTAATCAGTCTACAGTGACATACAATGTGAAACGTATAATCATGCTCTTGTGATGCCATCTTTAGTTGGATTCTTAATCTTTTCAGGACTTGGGAGTAAATGCATTTCCTTCCAGACCTGCTTAAAGACCCTAAACAAAGGCAGCGTCACTGGATGTCAGTGGTCCTTTGATGCTGTGCACAAACAGAGGTTTGTACCGAGCAGAAGGCCCGAGACATCCTTACACCGATGCATACAAAGAAAAACAAATTAAGACAGTTGTCCCATCGTGGAAGACAAAGGATGACTGTGGTTTCCAGGCATTTCAGATTTTACAAAAAAAAAAAAAAAAAAAATCGTGGAAGACAAAGGATGACTGTGGTTTCCAGGCATTTCAGATTTTACAAAAAAAAAAAAAAAAAAAGTTAGAAAACAAGTTCTGTCCGTCAACTACATGGCTGCTCAGTTCATTCATAAAGACAGCAAGGCTTGTTCAGGCTCGTTTCAGACGACCAGCTAACATGCCTACAGTAGCTGCAGCCTACGTCAATTCTCAAATGAGAACTATAATTCTTTAAGTGCTCTGTTGTTGCTGCCTGTGCATACCTCTGAGGTGGAGGGGTGGGATGGGGAAGGAAGGGGGTGAGGGTGGGGTTTAGGGGGAGGGGAGGGGGGGTCGAACCCTGCCTCAGTTTCCTCAAGTACAAAATGGGACAGAGCAGGCCAGTCCGCAAAACTGAGGTAGTTAACGAACCATATTCCTGGAATGCCCGACCTTCAACGGCGGGTGATCACACCTCAACGCTACCTCAAATAATCATAGATTATCATGTCTCGTCCATCTTAAAGATGCAGTTTAAGAACTCAAAGAAACTAAAACATCCAAGTTCTGCTAAACCACTCCAAACTTTAACAATAGAAAAAAAAAAAAAAGTGCAAAGCCTTTTCCAGAGGGATGTCCGTCATGAACTCCTACTCAGTAGGTCTCAAATGGCAGATCTGGGGGGGTGGGGGTGGGGTTGAGGGGCTGGGGCTTCTAAACTCTTTACAAAAAAAAAACAGAAATAAAAACAAGTTTTGCTCTCGTGATTATCTTCGAACGTGGCAGTTTGAGGAGATCTGCTCCTTAAAAAAGAAGGCTGGAACACCATTGGACCACTGAGTCAGTTGACCTTACCATTCCATCCACTGGCAGCCTGCAGTGTGTAACGCCATACACTGGTCAGTCTTCATAGCGACACATCAGGACCGGCCTCGACCCCTTTTCCCTGCTAGTCAGGTAACAAAAGGAAGCAATTAGAAGAATGGAAAACAGGATCGTATTACATCTACACACATATACTGTTCTCCCTCGCGCTCACACACTCACGCTCAGTACTAACTGTACAGGGAGAACTGTGTAACACATGAATTTGCATACATCAGAAGACAAAGCATTCTCACAGACTTGCACGCCCTCTGACGCAACATGCACATGTCAATGCCTTAAAAGAGGACGACAAGCAAGAGAATCAGCTGGCTCGGATCAGAAAACTTAAAACTGAGGTGCGGCAGGTGAAACGTGGACACGCTTAGACGGGCAGAGGAGGGAGAGGGAGGGGTGAGGGTTAAGAGCAGCCATTATAATCAATAAAAGCAAACGGAACAAAAAAAAACAAAACAAAAATAAACTACAAGCAAGACATGCATGGCAGTTATCTCCCACAACAGCACAATATCAAACCTCCAGATAAACATGCAAGATTAGTATCCAGGCCTTCAACAGCTAGGTAGATCCTTCTGGGACAAGGAAAAGCTTCACTTTGAAATAAATCAAATTGTGCTTTTATTCCCTCCCCCCACTAGTGACAAAAGGGACTTGTATGACAGACTTGTAGGGGGTGGGGCTTACTCTTGATGCTGCATTGACAGTGAATTTAGGACACCAATTTGTGAAACATTTATGTTTTTGGACATGAGAAGAACTCATAAGGATGAAGTATGTCACTACACATACAGAGCACTTGAGAGATGCCGACTATAGAAGTAGGTGATTTGGAATTTGATGGCATGCAAGGTGACACTGTAGCATGTGGCCAACATTGGCAAACCTTTAGTCCATTTTCTTCCACAAGGAGCCTTAAATTTGAAGGCAATTTGAAGAGAGAATTTGCCGAAACATGAATTTGCAACACAATTTGAAGTTTTGTACACGTGTGCGTGTATGTTTATTAAAGCAGACAAACAGCAAAGAATACAAGCCAAAATGTAAAGCCAAAAAATAGGACTACGATGGTCCTTTTTTTTCTTTTCAATAACAAGACACGCATTACTTTGTGACAGTACAAATTGTATTTTCATTTGTTTTAAATACATGTTTAGGAGACATATGCTTTGTTGCTGTTAGCTACTTAAAACATGGAAACCAGAATTTCTAAAAACATACATAAAGCTATAGCCAAATAGACAGCTCGAGCACAGAATTGCATCTAAAAATTTTTTCAAACTTTGTTATGGAAAATCTTTTTACGACCATCTTAAAAAAACAAAAACAAAAGGAAAAAAAGAAAACCAGTTCGCCAGAAACAGGTGGGAGTGTGACTACGGTTTGAGTCCAAGCGGATTATTAAAATATGTACAAAAAGATATCTTGCCAGATGTCACCAATTTTGAGGAAAAAATGCAGGCAACCGTATGGGATTGAGGGCCAATCAGATCAAGTCTCTAAATAAAAAGACAAAAACAAAAACCATAAACACGTATTTTGTTATCAAAGCCCTACTGGTTTACTTCCACTGTTGCCCAAAAGAATCCTGATAAAATTCCTGGTTGTCAGATTTGTAACCGGAATAGTTACCAGAATGATCACCACCTTGGAGCGGTTGCTGAGCAATGGGTTGAGAGCCCCAGTTCTGATTATTGGTCTGGCGACGCTTGGAATCTGGCTGGTTGTACCCATCAGCTTTGCGCTTTCCTCCTACATTTCCACCGCGGCCACCCCGCGCACCACGTACCCCTCCTCGCCCTCTTGGCTGCACGCCTCCTCTTGCGCCCCGCCCGCCGCGGCCTGGTCCGGGCCCACCACGCTGGGAGAAGTTGGCCCTGCCTCTGGGTGCCCCGGCGCCGCCACGTCCTCTGGCCGGTGAGGCTCCACCCCGGGAGCCCCTGCTACCGCCCCGCCCTCGGCCTGGGGCCTGGAAGTCGTCATACCCATAATATGGGTCGTCGTAGCCGCCACGGTAGTTGTGATAGTCATAGCCGTAGTAGTCATAGTAGTCCTCATAACCGTAGTAGTCAGGAGGGTATGCGTATCCGCCCCGGTTGCCACCTCTGCCCCGGCCTCTAACAGGGGGAGGCATGTGGGGAGGGGGAGGGTAGTAGTAATAGTCATCATACCTGATGATAGAATGAAGGCATGAAATGAGAACAGAGCAACAAAATCAAGAGCACAATTTAAACAAACATTGCAGTCGCTCCTGATGAGACTTCCTTACATTTGTGTTTTGGCTGCTTGTCTCTGGGCCTTTCGTTCCTTCCTTTTCTGATCTGGTGGCTTGGCGAAAACTATCTCAATCGGCTCTCCTTCCAGCTCCTTTCCGTTCATTTCTTCCAACGCCTGAGAAAACCAGTGCGAGACAACAACTGTTCATATTTCTGTTGACATCTTTGGTTCAACAATCAATGCGTTATTTAGCTAAAAACTGAAAAGTCACAAACATTTCTACATCACAGAATTAGAGGAATCGTTACCTTCACTGCTCCATCCCTCTCCTCAAAGTGAATGAAGGCATAGTCCTTGAGCTTCTTAACTCGCTCCAGCTTTCCAAACTCACTGAAGGACTTCTCCAGGATTTCCTCTGTAACACCATTTGCAAGGTTTCTCACAAATAAAACCTTCACCTGCAACGTGGACAGACAGATGGTCAGATCTTACATCGGTCAAAAATGTAATCCTTAGCATGACGACTAAGAAACCCCAGTGCTCCAGATAAGTTATCCATATTTGTGTTATCGCATATTTCACGTCACACAATCTAAGATCGTGTGAGTTCTTCTTTTGGTGTGTTTTGTGTTCTTCTATCGCTGAGGCTCACCTTGGCCATGACTTCTGGGTCAGGGTCTTCAATGGGATCGGCCCACTCCACCGTCACTATGTTGCCCCAAACCTTCACCTTGCCGCTCATTAGCCGGCGGCGTGCCTGAGCAGCTGTTTTGTGGTCTTCATACTCCAGGAAGCAGAAACCTCGGTTCTTCTTTTTGTCGTCGGGTTGATGGTACAGTATGACGTCACTGAGGCCCTCTGGACGAAGACAGAAAAAACAAATTGTGTGACGTTAAGTAATAAAGCTCAAGTGCCTTGGAGCAGAACGAGTAAAGTAACTGGTACAGCGCAAAGGACGCTTCAATCAACATTTTACCTGTAACTTTAGAAAACTCTTCAACAATCTGCTCCTTTGTTTTACTCTTGGGAATGGAGCCAACGAATAGCCTGTTGTTGGCGACAGATATACACACCCCAATGTGCTTGCCAGGGCGAATCTCGTGATTATTACACTGCAGAAACAATAGGATAAAAAAAAATGTCAATATGATGACACCTGACACTCCAAAATCACTTTCTTCGAGCAGAACTAATACCCTGCCAACAAAAGCAAAGAAGGAAACTTCATTTTAATAAATTTTAAGCCTGTCAAAAAGTGCAGCTTGTGTTTTGCACCAACAAGTCACCAGGCTGCTGAGCTAAACTACTGCGTCGGTCTGATTCTTGCTCCAACTTCAGTTCCCCTGAGGAGACGACTGTTCTGCTAAATGTTTAATTCCTGACAGACTTACCAGCTTCACCGCCTCCTGGGCCGCTTCTTTAGTGCAGAATGTAACAAAGGCGTATCCCCTGTTCAGGCCACTCAGCGGGTCCATCATTAGCCTGAGGTCCCAGATAGGCCCAGCCTTCTCAAAGAGAGGAACCAGCTCATCTTCAAACAAGTCGCGGGGAATCTTCCCAACAAATATCTAGAAGAACAAACAAGAGTATTTAGAGGCAAGTCCCGTGTAAAGATGCTACAAAAACTGAGACAAAGAAATCCACAATGATGTGCTTTTATTCAATGATCATGCCTTCATGGTTTCTAATTTATGTCTGCTGAAAATCAGTGAAGAAAATCTAACTTATCTTTCCTTGTACACAAATTGTTCAGACAAGATGTATGCAAGTAATAAGTTACTCAGAAAAAGTATTTGTCCCAGCTTGTGCAGGTATAAATCTATTGTTGTTTGTCTATCTGTAGTTGTTTACAAGGCCAGTCAAAGGAACCTAAACATTTGAAGTGATGTATAAAATACTTTCAAATTCCCAGAAAGCAGTGCCATAGAACGAAAACAAAAAATAAGTTTGGCTTCAGTCCTTACACAGATTATTCCTGTTTTCTCTGTAAGCAATAACATAAAATGAAACCAATTCAAATATGTAACTCTTCCTGTTTGAGAACATACTACTTCTATTCCCTTCCCTGCTTGACACTTTGATATTAACACATCATACTGCATACCTCTGTTCCAACAGTGGGTTGGGTACCTGAGTACACCGACTCAGGTGGAGGCCCGCCATACTTTCGCTGGCCTGTTGTTACGTCAAGTGTGTAGTCGGTTCTGTCCAAGAGTTCTTTGATTTTAGCCTCATCTGGTCCTTTAGTGGAATCTGAAACTTTAGTCCCTTGTTTCTCTCTCTGCCTGTAAGTCTTCATTACCCCACAGAGAAAGGCACTTTTGTTCTGGAAGAGACAGGAACAACTTGGTAAAGTTGATATTTACATACTCTAATGGAGGCACAAATGTAAAAAAAATTTTTAAAAAAGTATTTATAAAGTGATGGTATACAAGTTGGCCAAAAAAGCTTTCAAAGACCCCTTTGCCACATCAGTGAACTTACTTGCACATGTGACAGATCACTCTCTTTGAACTGGACCAGCACTTGCAGGGCTCCCTCCTCATTGAATTCTTTCAAAGCTTCAATTGCCCTTTCGTCTAAGTCGCTATGTGCTACCAGTCCTGAAAAACACAGCAAAACATAAATTTATATCGTTAATGTGGCGTACAGAGGGTGTGTGACTCATGCAGCAATGAAGCAGTTGCGCAACAGAGACTTAATAATGATTGATCTGTGTGGGAAGGAACAAAATATAATGAGAGCAGAAAGTACAAAAGCCCAATTATATACAGGTTTCACTACTACGTACGTTAATGCTTCACAGTCAGAAATAGACAAACGCTACGAATCACTTCATCCAATTGATATATTTAATATTAACAAACGGTAACTTTTGAACATCAAACATACTCAGACATCTTAAAGAAATCAAACTAAGCATCTTTCCTCTTGTTTACCCACACCCTTTCAATTACCAGTCATTAACAATGCACTGGATAACATCTTTGTAGCTCCTTCTGCTCGTCCTCTGACAGAACGGTTCAACTGCTGTGGCCACACAGCTGCTCTATTGTTTCTGCCTACTGGCTTAAATGTACCTTCCTTCAAGCTTTTACAGCTACACCCATTCTTTCATCCATTCAATCCAGTTTCTTTACAATGTGACCGTTTGCCGTCTGAGATCTGATTTCACCAACTGATGTCACAAGAATGTACTTTTAGACAGCAACATATAAAGATGACAGGACTCATTTTAAAAGCGTCTGAAAAGCAGTTTTGCCTCGTGGATTAATCTAAATAGTAGTTTTATTGCTGGTAACTCATGGTAGAATCGGTAACAGAAGCGGTGGGCAGAAACTCAAGTGGTAAAGAAACTCCTCTCCTCTGCTCTGCTCTCTCTCCCGTCTGTCTGCTGCTGACACGATTACTTAAATTACTTTTCAGTTACTCGCCGATTATACCGCAGAGGAACCAATTAGTGTGTGGCATTACATTTCCTGGCATCATTATTTTAAGCACTCGATAATAAAAAAATAAGTCTGACGATACTTTATATTTCTCTTGTTGTCAACCAAAGCCACGTAAACATCATAACTATCAATGTGTTAGTCCACTTTGCAGCACTCTCTGGCCCCTCTGCTCTGTCTGATCGCCAAACACACTGATTTTTCCACAAAATGTAGATCTTGACATCTCACATATGTAACGTAATTCATAAACAGGCATCAAAACTCCCTGAAACAACACATAAGTCCTCTACAGGTGTTGTCGTAATTAAAAGTTGAAGCACGTGTTCAGTAATTACTGCAGCAGAACAGCACACGTTGCTTAAGCCCAAACAAGCTATAGTTGCTGTTCACGATAATAAAAGAACAACAGTGCAGCTCAATCATGGTGTTTTCAACCGTTTATGGACAGCACTGATACTCTATGACAAAGAGGAATAAGACTTATTAGGTTTATAAAGCATGGAAACGCTTGGAACTGTTAAAGCCATTTAGCCTTTCATTAGGATCTGTTACCAATATTGACGTATCAGAAAACAAAAGCTAGCAGTCATGCAAGAAATCAAAACAACAAAAAGTGAGCATTCCTAACCATACTAAGGTATACCTGAGAGATATAACAGGTGAATATTCAGTATCTCTGACCTGCCATGTGTTTCTACAGTGTGGTGATGTCAAAGCTGTTAAAGGTTTAAGACACTGGCAGAGCACAGCCAGGTATGAAACGTTTGCTTACCTGCTACATAAAGTTCATCGAGTTTCTCAGCAACTTTCTGAGGTAAACCAGCTTCCAGTAAAGCCTGGAAATGTTCCGAGTGGGTCACCGCAGCTGTAGTGTCCATTGGTTCCTCCGTACCGTTCCCGTTTACATGATCTGTGGCCATGTCTCCAGACATCTGTGCACATGAGATTAGAGCAGAATTACGAAAGGCACGACTGCAGCTGCTGGATGAACTGGGACAACAGATTAAGTGTGCGGTTTGGCGCCATCGTTCAAGACTGGACACGGGTTTGCAAACTGTAACGCTGTCTGAGTGGCTGCTGTGGTCGCTGCACGCAATTATGAAACTGAAACAGCACCTGGATGGCGCGACTGGACACATTTACAGCCTGATACTCGCTGATAGAGCCGGGCCACGCTGTCCTGCCACTATACTCAACAATAAATAAATAATCTCTGGCTTCGGACAGCAGCTTTCCATGCACATCCACCACGCCTCTGTAAGCTCATGTTAACTAGCATCGCTGGCTCGTGCAGATCCCAGGCCCCACTCTTCGCCGCGCGCATGGAGGTGCAAACTGAAGGAGGCTAACATCAACACAACAACTATCAGATACAGAACCTTCGCGACACGTGGGGTTCCTCCAAAGGCGATTTACATTTGTCACATTATCGCCTCTCTTCAACCGGCCGTCAATCAAAGCGGGCCCGTTTTCAAAATGCCGGCTAGCCATGTAAACGAGCTGCTATGATGCTAACAGTGGCCGGTGTGCAACGCATCCAACGCCGGAGCGCTGTGTCAACAACAACACGTGTCTTTTCCCGGTACCCCGTCGCGTACATACCATGCGAATCTAAACTTGGGTGCACGATGCTGATCCGCCGTGATGAAGGTGATCCAAATGAGGGAAAATATTCACGCCGGTGCTTTTCAGGTTGGTTTCTTTACTCCCGGTGAAACAAAATGGCGTCTACGTAACGTCGCGAGCTCTGCTTCTCTCCGACATGCGCGGGGTTTCTTCACCTGCTCAGCACGGGCCGCTCCCGCTTTCTTCTTTGCCTTGTTGGAGGTTTAATGGCGGTTGATAAACAACAAACTGGTGTGTAAACGCCCCCAACTGGTGTGGAAATAGATCAGAATCCATCATATTCAGTGGCTTGTGTCTACAGCAAAGGAGGCAGCACTTTTTCCACAAACCCTCTTTTGGGCCACATAACATGATGACTTTATGTTTACTTAATGAACAATGCACAGTTTCAGGAATAATAGATCTTTAAAACTGTCAGCACTTGGACAGAACGTAATATTTTAGGTGGAATAAACCTTTAGAACAATAACTTCTTGATTTGAAAGTGTTATCTGGGTGGGGTAAACCTATACAACTGCAAGTACTTGGACAGAAAGTAGTAATATGGAAAGTTTAATAATTATAAACTGTAGAAAGTAGCCAAATACTTGACTGAAATAAAACTTTAGAACTAGTATGTACATAGACAGTAAGGTGTTTTGCGTGGAATAAACCTTTAGAACCTAAACCAATGTTTTAGAAATAAATATTTTGGTGGAACAAACCTTCAAAATTATAAACACTTGGACAGGAAGTAGTGTTTTTGGGTAAAATAAATCTTTTAAACGAAAAGTCATACACTTTAGCAAACATCCAATCGTTAGGTGGCGCTGTTGCAGAAACCTACAAGGGCAGTCCTGAAACATTCATTTAAACAAATCATTAAAAAAACAAAAAACTTTTATATTCTTTTGATCAACTTTGTTTTTCCACGATACTGAAACTGATATTGACAGCGCTCACTTCTTGAGTTGTTTCTTCAAACATTAATAAATGAAGTTTTACTTTTATCCTTTTTGGATCAGCCGTCTTCTTTCTGCCTAATACTTCTGCGGCACGACACACTCTGGTGTCTCTTCCTCCCCACAGTTGTCATATTTGGCTGCATTATGTGTCCCTCTTTTTAACAATAATTCTTTGTCTCCAAGGATAAGTCTTGATGTTATCTGGTCTCTCCTGCTCCTTCCTGTGCACCAAATTTTTGCCACTTTTCTTCGAACTCTGTAAAACTATCAATCTGATCTCAAATTAGACTCTGAACAAATGATTGTCCTCAGTGAATTTGTACCTTCTATCCATTACATTGCCAACAATATTGCAGCATTTTGCTTGTGTAAACTACTTTTTGGGAGCAATAATAATAATAATAATAATAATAATAATAATAATAATAATAATAATAATAATAATAATAATAATAATAAATANAAAAATAATAATAATAATAATAATAATAATAATAATAATAATAATAATAATAATAAATACTACATTTAATGCAAACCTTGTTTGTTTATTCTGCATTAGACAGACTATAATACATCCTTATTGCCTGTAAAAGTGTAAAACTGTCTACAACGATGACATATGCCACAAAACAGCAACACAATATGAATTCTCCAAGTAATAAAATAAATGGCATAAATCTCAATGGAATTAATTGCATTTTAATAGTGCAGTGGCAGTGCAGTTCATTATATTTTCAATTTCATTTTTCAATTTTGACAGCTGTATGCTTAAGAAAGGTTATTTATTTGATAGATTTCAGATACAGATATGAATATTTTAATTGGGATTTACATTACAGTCATTTTTTAAAATAAATCATGCCAAATTGTCAACCTTCACAAAACTTGATGGACATAAAACAGACATTATATCCAACGACGTCAACTTCTATTAAGCACAATTACCCAACTGCCCTCGTTTTGCCCCTTTGCATTCTGTGACTGTGTATTTTTACCCCGGCGTTGCGTCACATCGAGGGGGCGTGGCTTCAACACGCACCCTGACACGCTATTGGCTGAGCGCGAAATTTCAAATGTAAGAGGAACAGCAGCAGCTCGGCGGAGACAAACTAAACCAACGATGAAAAACGTTCAGCGAAACTGATTTGTGAAGTAAAAAGATACATAGCAGTCTGTTTGTGTTACTGCTTGTGAGTTAGAACGACTTTTACAAAACTTTTGAAACGAAATGGATGTCGCCACGTATTTACAGTAAGTCAATGAAACTCTGCCGTTACTGGGTGTTAGCTTACTGCTAGCGGTTAGCTTTAGCTTTAACATGAACGTATCGCTGTATTATGAGTAATTTATATAGAACATAACTGTCAGACATGGCGCTGCCTTCTTCTCATTTTGTTCCCATTTACCCCTTTTAGGTGTTTTGAAAACAGTTTGACCTCATACTCAGGTGACGACCCTTTGGATCCATGGAGCAAGTGAGTAATGTATTCAGAAGTCGTTGTGTGTGTTGTCCCCAGGCCGATATTTGTTTGACTTGAAGAGAAAAAAATATACACAACATTCAAACATACCAGCTGTCATGTAAAACAATTTATATTCCTGACATAACATAAAACCTGGAATACGTCTAGCCCCTTCATCACTGTCCCCCACCAGTTTTCAATGAGCAAGTATGGACTTTTGCTTCTGTCTGTGTAGAAATTAAAGCTGATCAGCTGCAGTAGTCCACCATTAAACTATTAAAATCCAACTTTCTTTCAGTTACATACAGCTGGAGCTACATTTTTTCAGTTAATTAACATACCTGCAGAAAATCAGTCTGCAAATATTTTGTCAATCGATCCTTTGAGTCATTAAAGATTGTCCTATAATGTTAACGATAAATCATTTTCTGTAAATTTTATAGACAAATTGAGATTCAATTTCCTTAAAGTTAGAAAGTTTTGTTTTGTGTCACTTTCACCCCTGCAGTTGTGGTTATTTGCTCTGCACATTAAACTAGAGGCTATTTCATAACAAAAACAGATATTAGACACAGGGTTAAGCTATGCATCCTGAACTTTGCTCAAATTACAGTTGATTGTCCACCTCATCTATTTTTTGTTTGTGTGTGTCTACCACATTTACTCATTGATTGAGTAAATCTGCAAGACAGTGTTACTGTGTCTTACTATTGTTGTGTTGTACTTTCTGTTGTGCGAGTGACTTAATGCCATATCCTTGTTTTGCTTTATTAAATCGGCCTTTCTAATAGAAATGAGCTGCCTGATGTCAGCAGCACGCATTAGTCATTTTTTACATTTCCAATTTAGTAATAATAATAATATTAGTAATATCAATAGATGGAATTTACAGCTCCAAATATTTGTGTTCCTACCTCACACTCTTTTTTTTATTATTTTTTTTTAAATAGTTGCTAATTGTTTTAGTGACTTTGTTTGTACTCACTGTATAGCTGTAAACCTATAAAGCTATAAAACGTTTTGTGTCCAATATGTTTTGTGCAAATGCACTACAGGTAGTTGCACTGACACCTGAGAGATGACTGAACACATTTCCTTGTATGCTTGTTCAGGTTTGTCGAGTACCTGGAGCAGAAACTCCCTGCAGATGGTGGCAGCGGGATGTCGCTGGTGTTTGACCGTCTTGTCCAGAGATTTCTGAATGTTGAGCAGTATGCAAATGACATCAGATATGTGAACTACTGCATCAAATGCGTAAGTCTGGCTAAAATATCACATTATTATTTGAGCGGATTTGGTTTTATTTTCAGACTGCCCTGACGTGTGCAATTCTTCATTCTAACTGTGTCTTGCAGGCGAGTTATTATTCCGACCCCATCTCGCTGTATAGTCACGTTTTTAGTAAGGGCATCGGCACCAGGACTGCTGCCCTTTATGTGGCCTGGGCACAGCAGTTTGAACAGAGGGAACTGAATGAACAGGCTGATGCAGTGTACCAGAAAGCACTGGAGAACCAGGCCCAGCCAGCTGACACTGTTCACCATGAGTACAGGTAATAAGAAAGACATGGATACTGTGGACACAACATAGAGCTGCTTTTCAGGTCTATTTGGGTTTTCTTTAGCATTCTGACAAATCCGTGGACGTCACACAGACCCAAATATTGTTCATTTATACACTGTCTTTTAATAAATTTGTGAATTTTCTCACAAATTTGTGAAGTAAGCATTGTTTTAGCTGTTTTCATTAACGGCTGTAGTAGCTTTTCTGCAGTCTGTTAACTAGCAACTAGATGATTTTTTCTCTTCTATTGTGTGAGATGTTTTGTGTTTGTTTTGACCATAAATCCACAGACAAGATATTATTCTAACATTTTAATTTGGAGGAACTTCAACAAAGTGTAGTCACACTTGAAAATAATACTTAATAAGTGGAAGGCACACTGCATGTTGCTTTGTGTGCATGTGTGTAGTACACACTGTACAACAATATGTCACCATCAGAAACTTTGATCTGCAGGAATTTTCAAACAAGAACCAGAAGCCAGACGTCAACACCAGGTAAGATGTTGTTTTATTGCTTGTTTGTCTCTTTAATAATGTAAATGCCAACTTCTGTCTGATTTTTTTATTTCAATATTTTATGAAGCAGGAGGACGAAATCCTTTACAAAACTCCCATTTAACCAATCAGATGTCATCCTACAGAGAGCCTGTGGCTCAGAACAAGGTGCGTCTCTGAATTTTCATATAAACTTTAATAACATCCATGTCTGCTTTTCAAACCCACTGATGCTCTTTGTCTTTTGTTACAGGTGCCTGTGGATTGTCCATCCAAACCACCTGCAAATGCAATGACTGTGATGTAAGTGTAACAATACAGACATTAACACTAATCCACTCTCAGATGATAACTAGAAAAATGTTGAGAGTACAACCCACCATCCACTGCATTCTAATGAAAAAACTGTCAGATGTGTTAACTGTTATATTTCTTGTCCTATTCAGTTTGTTAATTCAGAAGCAATGCAGGTTGTGCATCTGAGAGGTGTTCCTCACCAGAACATAGACTTATAATATTCTTTAAGGAAAATTAGGAAGTTTGTGTAAGTTATAGCAAAGTGTAAGAGCAGGATTATCTAAAACAGACAAAATATTGGTCTGAGTTCTTTTGGACAACTTGGACATAAAGGAATTTATTACTAATGGCATCAATCATTGTTCCATAAGAAAGTTTTATGTGGAGGAATATCAGTTCTCTCTCAGCAATGCCTTAACCAGGAGATTGTCAGGCGACTTAACAACAACAATAAGATTATTTTGAAAACAAACACATAGGAAATAACAGCACAGTAATCTGAGCATCTTCTCGATAATGAAGGTTCACCACCAGAAAAATGCAGGAACTGTGAAGCACTTTAGAAACCAGATGTGACATTATCTGATTCATTGTCTATATTGTCCCTTCCACAGTGTATCCCGCTCTGAAACTTCAGGGAAGATTCCTTCCAGTCAGGGCTCCGGTGTTCAGACTGTGTCAGCGTACATAGAGGACGAACTCGTATGTGAAGGATCTGAACTTTGCTTTGAGGAGGTCAGGGCGGAGAAATACTTCCGTAAGCTCCGGGAGAAACGAGAGAGGGAGCAGGAAGAAATCAGTAAGTTGGGAGTTTATAAATCTGTAAATAAAGTTGTTGTTTTTGTCCCCCCCCAAAGAACTTAAAAGCTGAAACAAAAACTGGGGAAAGTTTGTGATGTGTTTTGTTTTGTGGATAACCAATATCTGGGTTTGTTTACTTTCAGTGGAGAAGGCGCTGAAGGAGAAGGAGGAGAGAATCCAGAGCATTAAATGCATGTTGGAGTCAGTCAACCAGGGTCTGGAGGGCCTTGGAGGTTTCACCAGCCAGGCTTCATCTCAGAGGGTGAGACTGCAGATTCAGGTGCTCTGGCTCTATCCTGCAGTAACTCCATTTGGCAGCACTCTCTCTTGTATTGCCAAATGAATGAGGTACATGCAGGCACTTTTGGCTTCAGCCAGCTGTTTGTTGTGGCAACAGCAGAGTGACATTATGTCTCCTACTGCCAACTTTGTGGCAATAGAACATTCATGTGGACAGGATTCAACAGTTACTCATCAGTCTTTTGATTACATTAGTATTTGCCTTATTCAATTTTTTTGTCACAAACCCTCAAAACATTTGAACTACGTTTAATCATTTCTTGATTTATGGATGACAAAACTAACATTTTGACAAAGCTCTTTTGAAATGTCACTTTCTGTTTAATTTTTAGTTTGTTTTCATTGTGTAAAAACAAGCAAAACAAAATCAGTCCTCATTGTTTGACATTTTTCTTTATAGTGCTTCAAAACAGAATGCAGACCTCCAGACTCACTTTTTCACTAGTAGCACTGGTGTGACCAACTCTCTCATTTGGTCGCACTTCCCACCTTGTCACAGGCAAAACACATGACTTGCTGAACATTTTCTTATCGATAGCCACTACAGTTTACCAATGTTCTCTGAACGCCCCACATTGCAGGCTGCGGTAGCTGCCGTTGGTATCTGTGGTGTGCTCAGACAGCTGTGCGACCAAAAATTACTTTAAAAACATTCAGCTCTAGCATTCTAACGTCAGATTTGTCTGAAATGAAACAGTCATTATTTATTTATTTTTTTACATGCGCCTTTTTCTATGAGTGTAACAAACAGCAGTGAATGCAGGTGTGCTCTGTTTTCCACAAGAAGACCTAATTTTGAAGCTTAAGTAGCGCAGTACATCAACGTTATTACTTCCCACCAGTGTGGTTAACACAGCAGCTTCCTGTGTCGGTTACAGCGACACCCAAACAGCTGACTGATCTTCATGCATTCGCATCAATGTGACCGCTTGAAAATTTTTCCTCCCACTATCTCAAAAAAAAAAAAGTTGCAAATGATTGAATGACAGCAAGTCTCCTTCAACCAACTGTGTCATAACAAGCAACAGGAAATATTTAAACTGGAAAAAAAAAGTCTGCACGTCATGAAAATAATCAGTCTAGAAAAGTTAACAATCACATTATTTACCTTGGTGTATTAAAAGATAAGCTTGCCAGCGGTTTCACAAAGGAGCTGTGTTTCATGTTCACCCAAGATTAAACTTGTTTATAAGGTCTGGGAAGTGTAGCTGCCCTTCTTCACTCTCCTCCAGCTCTTGTAGCTGTCTTTCACTATTCTGAAAGCTCTCATATGTCCCACTTGGCATTCAGTACTACAGGAGTGCCAGATGCAAACATGACACCCCAAGTCAGTGAAAATCCATCATTAATTGCCATTGAATGGATTTTGTCAGTGGTTCCGTAGCACAACCGTGTCGTTATCATCAAACCTTCATCCCACACGATGAGAATGTGACATTAGACTGTAGTATACCTGCTTACACGTCTGCTTTAATGTTTAAAATCTAACTTTTAAGGAAGGACCTCGATTAATTCTATTGATTCAGTCAACACAGTGCCCTTTTTTCTTCATTGCAGCTGCCTGTAGCAGAAGCGACCAACAGTTTCCTCCCAGATCCTCCCCAGCAGTCCTTTGGGCGTCCTCGACCCTCAAACCGCCTGAGCAGCAGGCGCTCTCTTGGCTTGAGGTTACACACCGAGCCGACCTTCATCCAGGAGGCCACTTACATCCCTGAACCTCCTCCTCAGCAGCAGCAGCAGCAGAGGACAGCTGACACAAACGCTCTGAGCTCCGAGGTATCCCATCATCCCTCTGTCCTGGCTGACTGCAGCATTCATCAGTCTGCAGCGACGTCGGTGCCCACAGATCTAGAGTCCGTCGTTCAGGCCTCGATGGTCCAGTTTCAGTCAGTTCAGCAGCCTGTGAGCTTCGAGCAAGCGAACGTGTTGCCTCACAGATCAGCCTGCGTCTCCACTGGGAATGCTGACGTTTTCTACCAGGACGCTCGGGTTCAGCTCAGCAGCTCAATCAACTGCCGACCCCCGGAGCACCACGCAGCACATCAGTGAGTAACTTTCAACTGACTTGTGTTGTTGAGGAACATCTGAATGTGCACTTACCTCATCTCACCTGAAGAGGAAGAAGAGGATTGTGCAAATTTTAAACACTGCAAGTCTTTTTATGGTTGATAAAGTACTGCCAAGCAAGAAGTGCTGCTTTCAGTCTATGTTGAGTCTTTCAGAAACAAACAGCCCACTTGCAAAGAAAAGAGGACAGGGCTTTATTTAATTAGACAGACTGACCACCTGCTATTGTGTTGGTCCCAAAAGTAGGGTAAGATAAAAGTATAAATGCATAAAGTATCTCATTTAAAATACTGCTGCACACACAAAACACAATCACATGGAAACAAATGATTTTCATATCCATTAATACGATCATTCGCCCTAATTTGACTGGGATAGACTCCAGCCCCCCCGCGACCCTAGTGAGGATTAAGCGGTGTATAGATAATGGATGGATGGATTAATACGATCAGTTGCCCATCCAGTAGAGACATCTGCTTTCATTGTTTGTCGTATCAAGACCACCTCACTGACTGATTGAGAATTTTTATTGTTCTAGTCTATTTCTTTTATTTCTTATACAGAGAGCTATGATTCACTGGAGTCAAATTCGTGTGCAAACTCGGCCAATAAAGTTAATTCTGATTCAGATTTTTTTTTAAGTTGCTTTATTAATGATGTTTTTCAGGGACGTCAGTGAGCCACCAGAGCCTGAGGAGAAGCTTAATGGTGAGTTAGTCAGCTGTTCACAAGTGAGCCCTTCAACCTCAGCTTCTTGTGAATGTTTTCAGACCTTCTCTTTGTGTCTCTCAGTGTCACAGGGAGGCACAGCCAACCTGTCACACATCACCCCTAACAATTCACTGGGCTTTGTTCAGGCCACACCATCAAGGGTGCTGCCGTCACCCACTGTGAACACACGGGAAGCACTCGGTGAGCGTTTGCACTGCTGCTGAGCTTTTGCCATTTTCGGCTCTTTTGATTCATTCTTGCTTTATTTCGGGTGTGTTCAGATTTTGGTGGTAGTGCATCGAATTGTGTTGCACGTCCTCTCTAAACTGGTTTTGCGTTGTCCCAGGTGTGATCATGGACATGTTCCAGGCCCCGACGTTTCTAGAAGAGCCGTTCAGCAACACGTCGGCGCTCCATGCTGTTGAGAAAGAGTTTGACGCTGGATGCTCAAGATACGGTAAACATGCTGTAGACATAGACATGCATTTATGAAAGAGGAGCGAAGAGGATCTTTACTAAACATGAGTGGAATTAGCCAGCAGTGTCTAAAAACTGAACTTTCACTGTATAGACTATATTTTATTTGCCAAAGAAGATGATTCTAGATATTCTTCAGTTAAAGCAGAAATGTTCTTGCGCTTGTTGTGGACTGTGCACCACCCTGTTCACCATATTTGCACATGAAAGAGAAGTCTGAGTTTCTCTGTAGATGAATGTCTGTTGTTTTGCTGCCATTATCGACAAACTTATGTCATTATTCTGTGTTTCGTGATTTGCAGGAGGTGTCTCTGCACCTGCTGTGCCTCCCACTGCAGCTGCATTCACCATCTTTCAGGACGACAATGACAAAGAAAACGGCAGGTAAATATGGACCCTGTGTCACCGGAGAGCTAAACACACATCCTAAATATGTGGCATAAAAATAACTGAATGACCTACATTGAATAGAAATCATGACTTCCCATCCGACTGAGACTTCTGTAACTGACTGTATACTAGCATTTCTTTCGTCTGGGGCTTCAGTTCCCATATTCTCTGACAAACCTGACAAACCATATTTGGAGATCAAAATTGATATCCTGATTCTAGCACAGTGAACGAATAGTCGGCTGTTCGGGTCCAATCCTACAAACCTGAATCCTTTGTGATTTTAACCATATGAATCCTAAAGTCCACTGCTTGATTTGAAGGGCATGGTATCTTTGGAAAATTGCATTTATTTATCAGAGGTAGAAACAGAAATGTTAGCTTTCCAAAATTGTATTGGATGTGTCATTCTATTGGGAAAACTCCCCAAACCCAAACTTAAAATTGTAATATTTCATCAAAACCACTTACCCTACATGTCTCATTATGAAATTTAATTTAAAAAGAACCTGCCTGCAATAACCAGATTCTGCTCAAAAAAAAAAAAAGAAAGAAAAAAAGAAAAACATCTGGGAACTTCTGGCTGAACTTGGCTGAACTGCAGGCTGTGTTTACACAGAGCACAGAGGAGATGAGTTTAGAAACAAATGGAAAATGTAAGTGATGAAATATCTGTAGTCTGTAGAGTTGCCATTTTTTTCCACCTCCAGGCAAAAATGTTGTACGGTCATGTAGATTCTACTTTTAAAAAATGTATAAGTAAATAATCAAGTAATTAAAATTTTATGACATGAAGACTGTCAGCCTGCACAGAAGACATTTTTGAGTTCTCTCTACTTCCAGCCATGGTTGATTCCATTGATGTGCAGGACTTTATGTTGCACTGAAGGAAAATGTGACAGGAGCATAAACTGTGCTTGGGGTCCAGAGGGTTAAAAAAAAAAAAACAAATGTAAAAACTACAGCTTCACACAAAACCATGAAGTGCAACATACTACAAGTCCATCCAAAGCTAAGAAACTCACTGGTGCCTCCTTCTTAAGTCCGTTGTTCAGTCAGACAGTTAATATCATGGGGGACGGCAGAAAAGATTCCCATGTTTACAACCGTTAAGCGTTCCAGATTCCAGGTGTCTTCATCAATAAGCACTAAGAAAACAAACAAAGACACAAACATTAGAAACATGTGAATGTCATACTAGCTTGTAAGGATGCAGTGGTTTGTGTGTTCATCTCTTTTGGTGTTTCTCTCATGTTCACTTTTTTTGACTAACATGAAGCGTTTCTGTTATTTTGTCCCTGCTCTGTTCAGTGCTGCTGCTCCCGCTGCCACCGAGAAGTCCAAACCAGTCAGAGCTCTGGCTGAAATCACAGTGGCGAATGCAGACAAACCAAATGTGAGTGTAAAGCTTTAGAACCACTTTGCTGACAAACACTGATCTGCAGAGAATGATCAAAAGTTTGTAACATAGATGTCAATTACTTTATGGATCAGAGACTTCCATGTCAACCGTAGGCCATTGCTCTGCATTTGGTTTATGTCTAATGACAGACTGTTAGTTTGTCAGTTGGCTGCATTTTTCCATCCCCGTCTATGTTTTCCCATCAGGACACCCATCCGGACCTGATGCCGGATGAGAGCACCATGTGGGGCGCTCGCTACAACTCCCTCAACTCTCTGGCTGCTTGTCCAAACAGCACCACAGACTTCGCCATGTTGGCCCAGTGTGTCTCCACTCCGTTCACACACAAAACTCCTTTCGGCAACTTTTTCGAGGACCAAGGTACAGCACCTGGACCCACATACTTCAGTTTTGTTTTTGTTTTGTTTTTTTTTAAATCTCAGACACAAGAGCAAAAGACAGAACTGAACATATTCTAATGTTTTATGCTGCAGCTTTTAAAACTTCTTTATCAGCTCAGTCATATTCTGTTGATGCATGTAGAAATAATGTTTTCCTTCTCTCCAGAAAACAACTGTGACGGCGATGATGCTGATGAAGAAGCTTTTATTAGACGTCAGACCAAAAAACTCAGGTAACCAATGTGTTCCCTCTCAATTCTTGACTATCTGAGTTGTTTGTTGTCCGTATAAAGTCTTTTTAAAACTTTTAATTGCAAGCAGAACAGATACGTGGATGTTTCTGTAGAGAGGCACCTTTCAAATAATCGCTATAAAAGCAGTTTTGTAGAGTTTGTAGATTATTTATTTGCGTTATGTTGTCAAAACTGCGTTGAGTTGTCTGGTTCAAATGTAACATCGCTAATGCGCCAATGGAGACTTTACAATAGTAATTAAGTTATTTATCAAGTAAGAATGTCAAACGTTTGCTGTTTTCAACTTCTCAGATGTGAAGATTTGTTGCTTTTCTTAGTTTTGTGTCTTTGCATATTAAACATTTAGTTTTCTGGGCTGTTGGTCAGACATCGGCTTATATTTTTCTGTGTTTTCTCACTGAGCTCTTATTGATACTGGCTGTAGTGCTAGCTGTGGTCCTGCACAGTATGAGGAGGGCAGAGCTCACTGATGAAACCTCTCCTGTTGTCTCCCCTCCCTCAGCCCCATCATGGAACAGAGTCCGTCTGATGAAACCGCCATCAGTCAGCTGGTACCTTCCTCCGTGAGACAGGGCACCATCGTTGGTGAGGGGCTGGCCACCACCCAGCACTGCCTCACCTCCTCCTCCATCACCATGGTGCAGCCTCCTCCTCCCGCTAAGCTCTCCTTCAGAGACCAGACTCTGTGTCCCACTGACTCCTCCAGGACTGCAGGACCTGGCTGGGAAGTGTATACGAGTCCCGAGCAGCCTCCAAAATCAGCCTCTCTGATTTCAGTCCGACCCAAAAGCGAACCTTTTAAGATCATGGAAGATTTAGACAAACCTGCCAGCCCTGAACGAGTCCAGAGTCGAGTCTGTGATGTTCCCATGAGCCCTGAGTGTGCTCTCAAGCCGGACTGGCTCACTGTCAGAAGCCCAGAGGCCACAGTCGAGCCAGACCTCGACGCCTTTTTGAGTCCGTCTCGCCCCAACAAAGCAGATGTGACCTCCACCAACAGCCTGGACGTCCCCATGAGTCCAGAACAACCGCAGCTCTGTGCTGACGTGCCCATGAGCCCGGCAGAGCTGCCTCGGGTCGGCGTTGTGGATGAACCCATGATGAGTCCAGACAGAGGGCCGAGGCAGAGCGCTGACGCGTCCATGAACAGAGCGACCGCCAGGACAGGAGCAGCACAGCTGATGTCAGACCCCTGGGATGATGAACTGATCTCTAAGCTGCTGTCCTCACTCACCCCGCCGCTCACCTCTCACCCTCACTGCATCACCTGGCAGTGTCACCTGCCCAGCATCACCCCGAAGATGACCATCAGCATGGGTAAGAAGCCGTGCGGAGGCTGTTATGTTAGCATTATTATCGTTTACTTTCTTGCTGAGACTTTGTGCATATTATCGAGTCAGAGTGTGAAGCTTAGCATCGAGACCAGAAGCAGGAGCAAGAAGGGATCCTTGCTCTGTCCAGTGTTTAAACATGCACGAGTAAACAACAGTAATTTAATTACCTCTTGTTGTTAAATGTGGTGCAAAAGCAGACATACAAAAGCTCTTTGCAGAAATACTTTTTGGGATATTTTAAATTGTATTTTATCTGTTATCAACAATATTGCCTGATGGAAACCGACTGACTCGTTAAAGAAATAAACATGCTTCGGGTACCAGAGCACAAAGGTGGTGTCAGATTTCAGGCTTTTACCTGAACATGCTGAAAACTGTATTTCAAAATAATTTAAATTTCAGAAAGACAGCATAGTTTATGAAGCTTGGAAATGCTTTCCTAATTCATTGATACACCAAATCTATACATGAATTAATAATTTGGTAAAAGACATTTCTCTTATACTGCTTGCTTCTACTTTTGGATTTTTCTCATGTACATTTTGACCAAATCTAAGCTGACAGTAAGATTTCATTTTCATCTATTGTTCTGTTAGAATCGTACATTTGGGTGTGTCCCTGACCGTACACTCACACCGCCAGATTTTAGCTTTAATTCCAAATATACCAGATGTGTTTAAAGTCGTCGAAGTTTCAGGTAAAGTGAATGCCACGAGACGCTGTGTGATGGATTACAAATGTTTGGTTTTTGACAGGAAATTCGTCCCTTCGAGTCGACTACGTTCTAGGAGAGGGAGCTTTTGCAACAGTTTACCAGGCTACAAACCCCATGACGTCAGAGAGGACGGTTTTAAAGGTAACATAAAGATCCAGCCCCATCTGTGGTCCCTCTGTTCCACATGTATCTCTGTGATTCAGTCTCATTATAATGGCAGAAATGTAAACCATCTTTTACCTGTTAGTCAGCAGCAGCATGAAGCTTCTAGTGTGTTTTCATCACGTCACAGATATTAAAAATTCTTAAATTTATTTCTATTAAGTCCAACATTTAGTTTATTGTATTTGTGTATTTTCCTTTTTTGTTCATCAGTTCAACACTCAGATCTGTCATTTACTTTCAAATATGCAAAAAATCTTAACATTGAACATCACATGTCCACTTGCATCTGCCACCAAAAGGGAAAAATTCATACAACAGCAGATGTTTTTCGTCCTTTTTTAAATTAAATCTTATTCTCAGTAACGTTCCACAGCAGTGGACGTGTCTGCTTCATTTTCAATCAGTCAGACTTTATATATACAGCACTTTTCATATAAAAAGAAATGCAACACAAAGCGCTTAACAAATAAAAATGCACTACAACAACACAAACAACCCATACCCACCCCCACAGTCAAGTTATCAATAAAGGATTCTAAAACAGAAGGACTGAAGAACTGTCTTTCTAATAACCGTCTTTCCTGCAGGTTCAGAAGCCGGCGAATCCCTGGGAGTTCTACATCAACACTCAGCTGGACGCTCGAGTGCAGCCCGACATCCGCCACCTCTACAGCAGCATCCGCTCTGCTCACCTCTTCAACAACGGGAGCGTGATGCTCACAGAGCTTCACAACTACGGCACTCTGCTGGTCAGTGTTTCACCACCACAGACGAAATGACCCATAATTCTTTAGATTTCTTTATGAGGAGGCACTCTGTTAGATCGTTTAAAGTTCGTCCATCGCTCCAGGTGCTTCTCCTGTTTCAGGCATTTTCATGAGAGCTGCAGCGATTCACCAATCATCAAAAACATCATGTTGATAATTAGTCATCGGAGACATTTTTAAAGTGAAAAGTTACTTGATGCCTTTAGTTTTTCTTGATCTCATCCAATGGTAAATTAAATATTTTAGAATTTGACAAAACAAGACATTGACCACTTCAAGCAGGTTATTCAGTGATAAAAATCATTCATTGTAGCTCTGGTGTTATTGCCAAGAGCTAACCAAGAATTCTTAGAGCAGAAGCAACACATGCAAGTCTTATTTTGTGTTCTGTACCAGATTGTTAATAGTTCACATTCACTGCTAGCATCTTTTTTTTTTAACGAAAAATGTAATGACTCCTCTTTCAGAACGCAGTGAACATCTATAAAACCCTCAGCGACAAGGTGATGCCTCAGCCTCTCGTCATGTACTTCACCGTCTGTATCCTGCACATGGTGGAGCAGCTGCACAGCGTCGGCATCATCCACGCCGACATCAAACCTGACAACTTCATGCTGGGAGAGAGGTACCAACCCAGGACTGCCTTTGTTACTACACAGTTCTAAAACAAACAACATTCTAACATAGAAGAGTTATGTTTCTATTTTGGAATGTTGTGCCAAATGTGCTATGTTATAGAGAGAACCTCAACAACTCCTCTTACGGTGAACACTTAGTGGCAGTGGGGAGAAAAGAATCTGTAATGAAAGAGACAAACAGCACAATAACAGCATTTCTCTGTTTTACTTTAAAATAAATACCAAAGCTGACAGAAGTCAACCTAGAATTGAAGTAACCGTGGTTATTCCTGTTTTTCAGGTTCCTGGAGAACAAGTGTTTCGACTCGGACAGCGTGGACCACGGCCTCGTCCTCATCGACCTCGGACAGAGCATCGACATGGAGCTTTTCCCAGAAGGCACCGCTTTCACCGGCAAATGTTTGACGTCCGGTTTTCAGTGTACCGAGATGCTCAGTGGGAAACCGTGGAACTATCAGGTGAGAACAGACTGGAAGTGTCGTTATACGACTGCATTTCATTGTAAATCTGAATACAGTACAGCTCTTTTGAAGCATTTACAAAGTACTTTATGAGCAGAAAAACTCACAAATTATATATAAATTACAGCACGTTCAACCCATGAACACACCTCTAGTCCTTAGAAACTAATCACATTACAATAGTGCTCGTAACCTTTTCAGAACACGGTGTTGAAAGTAACAAGCGCCACAGAAGCTGAAGGCCGACGTTTTCCAGGAGAGTTTGAGAGTTTTTTGGCTTCACCAGCTGGGGTTTTATTCTGGAAAGCTACTAATGTGTTTATAGTACCGCTAATTAGACGTATCCTGACTATTATCCAGTTCATAACTTGTATCAGCTGAGCTGTCATGAGCAGCCTCAGGTTCATCTTCACCTGCAGAGCTGTTGTCATAAAAACCCTCAGATTTCAGAAATGCTGCTCTGCACTCATCCTGGCACTCAGGTGCTGCACAATCATGTCGCTGTGATGATAAAAACAGGCTTCTTTGTCACGGTTTGTACTCAGTGGTGACACATCGGCACCAATGTGAGGTCAAACTGGGATGTCAGGAATCTGAGTGTTCAACTGAATGAACTGTACAAAGTCAGGTTTCCATTAAAGGGTTAAAGAAGGAGGAAAACACAAGAACTCATGTAAAAAAGAAACGTCAGGAAGCCTTCCAGTTTAGTCTCTAACCGTTTTTTGTCTCTTCCTTGTGTGTGTTTTCAGACGGACTACTTTGGAATAGCAGGGACTGTCTACTGCATGCTGTTTGGGACCTACATGCAGGTCACGAATGAAGGCGGCGTGTGGACGACTAACGGTGTCTTTAGAAGGTAAATTCTTCCCAAGATTCCAAATATCTCACCATCAAACAGTCATATTTGTCTGTGATGGGACATGTAGTTTAGCTACAGGCCATCGAGTGGGAGCTGTGGTTTGTCATAAAGCTCGACGTGTCCAGAATGTGGTTGTTGTTCAAATCTGTTTGTTTAGATTTTTACATGCACATGCTACAAGTCTGTAAGTTCTGGATTAAGTCAATTTATATATATATATATATATATATATATATATATATATATAAAAATTGCAATAGGATTTTTATTTTTTTTTTAAACACTGTTGTTTTTATTTTCTATAAATTAGATTTCAAATGTGGATGTTTATTTTACTTTGATGTGACCAACAAGTTTTTTTTAGTCCAGTGTTACTAGGAAACAGTCAGCACTGTTTAAAACCAGTTTAACCTGCAGGAGTTCTGATCAGAGAAGGTAGAAGCAGTTCTTTTTGTTGGGACCTGGTGAAGGGTCCAACATGGAACACTTCACAAGACAATAACCATCAGCTGTCATGTCTGAAGGACTACAACTTTGATATAATGTGAACTTTGTGTCCATATAGGACGCTGTTATAGCTCACCTGGTTGAGCTGGTAGCCCTTGTACAGGGGCTATAGTCCCCGGTGTGGAGGTCATGGGTTCGAATCCCGCTCATGATCCTTTTCTGCAGGTCCTTCCCCTTTCTTCTCCCCCACTTTCCTGTCTCTCTCTCTCAACTGCACTCTCAAATAAAGGCCAAAAAAATAACTTAACAGAAACTGTGATCTAAAGTCTTTGGCTGCGTCTTCTCCCTCGCTGCTCCACAGGAACCCCCACAGCGACTTGTGGCTGGACTTCTTCCACACTCTGCTCAACGTGCCGGACTGCGGCTCGCTGCCCAGCCTGCGGAGCCTCCGCTGTAAGCTGACGTCCGTCCTGCAGCAGAACTACAGCAGCAAACTTCCTTCGCTGAAGAGCCGCCTGGTGGTGCTGCTGCTGGAGAACCGCAAGGCAGCGCGGAGATGACGGATGTCCTCCTCTTACTTTTCCCCTCCATTCATCATGTTTCCTTTCCCTCCTTCCGTCTGTTCTCAGACTCCATTTGTGCTCGATTGAACTAACACAGAATCTGTTTTATTTAAAATGTTACAGCTGAAACGTCACCGCAGACGGATTCTAGCAGCTGATCAGAATTTGTACCTGTAAAAAATGTAATTTTTGTTTAGTTGGCTTTTATCTTTTATCTGCTTCCAGTTGTGGGAGTGAGAAGCATTTTTCTCTGGTGAAGAATAAACTTTGTGTTGAAGTTTAGTCGCTCGGCTTCCTTCACTCTGCTGGTGTCTGATTTGGTGACAAACAGCGAATCTTATTCAGCTGTTTCAGGATTTTGTTTTTTAATGTGACTAAAACTTGTTTTGTATTTAAAGGTTATTACATTTTAAAACTCTCCTTCATTTTGCTAGTTTCTTTCCTGCTTTTATACAATTGAACAAGTCGCTTTGATGTTATTCTGTCAACCAATGAATAACTCAGTTTACATTTAATGTCAGACAGTGAGTCACAAGAGCTAAAGAAATGTCAAATATGTGTCTGAGGTCATCAAGAAACAAGTTTTCTGTATTTACACTTAAATGTCCAGCTTAGGTTAATAATTAAAAGGATCGTCTGCACCTATGTGTTCCAACAAACACAATTAAACAGCGTCCATGCACGTCTTAAAGTCTTCAAAAAAGCAGGATTTTTAGCTTCTTCACCTTTAAAGATATTAAAGAATCCAACATTTGTTTGGCAAAGGTCTTAAATGTCAGAAATGCAGAGTTTCATGTTAGTTTAAAAATGTTTTTGTGTGTGATTTTAGCAAAAACTGTCTCAAAAAGCTCCAGTGTTACAGTTCCACACCTTTGACTTTATGTCAGATTCTTATGTGAACCTTTTTTTTTTTAAAATCACTTCCTCATATTTTTTTTGCTGACTATCTGGTTGCTACTCTTGTTTAAAAGATATAGTTAGAAGTTGTTGCCACACGCTGGTGGTGACTCAGTAGATTCATGCTCGTGATTCATAATTTTGGGTCGATTACCTGGATGATGGTGAAACGTGAATTAAGTTGTCTTTTGGATCTTGAATTACACTTGACAGACATGTATAACTGGAGTTGGGTAATATCCAGTCTAAATAGAGGATGACGAGACAGTGAACAAGCCACCGGTGAAGAAACCACGTTTCCATCCATTATCTAAACACCACTTAATCCTCATTGGGGTCATGGGGGGCTGGAGTCTATCCCAGCTGAAACCACATTTCTTTTTGTTTAATTTATAGTTTAGAGAACTCTGACACTCTAGACAAACATAAACACCTACCCACTGAAGTGTCTGCAGAAGTTACATAGTCTTGATTTAGTCTGGCAAAATTAGAAAATTAAAAAAGTCTGAATTTTACGTTTTATTTTTTTTAGATGCTCGCACTGACTTCATTTTCTCTGGGTTATGATTTCACACTTTTCACTTGCTTGCCCCATGACTTTGTGTTTGTAAGATTAAGAGAAAATTTATAAATGGTGCTCAAGTTTGTCAAAATTAGGAGCGAAAAAGACCAAATTATGAGATAAATAGTAAAATTATGTGCAAAAAAAACAAAATTCCAAGATGTATCTACCTAGACAGAATGATGTGCTAAATCAAGAAACTTTAAGTCAAAAAGCTATTTGGTTTAGACTTTTTATCATAGTTTAAACTAATTTTATTGTCAAAATGTGTTTACTTTGCCTCATAAGTTTTTTTTATTGTCCTGTCTGACATTCTGTCTCAGTGTTTCTGAGCTGAGCGTCCAGACTCTTACTGTGATAAAAGCAGCCGTTTCTCTCTGCGTCTCACTAACGCAGCAGCAGCTCAGGATTTCTCTGTCTGTCGTGGTAAATCCTGGCTGAGGAGTGTTGGGAGTGTTAATGTCACCCTGCAGCTCCTCTGTTTCGTGTCCAGACCTGCAGCAGCAGCAACCAAACCTCCAGCAGATCAGATCAGCATAAACACAGGCAGCAGCTCATTCAAACTCTTCTCTTCTGAGCCAATAACAGCAACACGTCACACTTCATTCTGCTTTTCATGCTTTTATTTCTCTTTAGTTTCAGCCTGTGTTTGAAACAAAGACGCTGTACTTTGATGATGTTCAGATGATTTCTTTTAGCTCGTCTCCGTCACACTCTGTGGAGCAGCTGAAATGTCATGTGGGAGGAAGTTAACTACCACTCTGGCT